GCTGCTGCTGCTGCTGCTGCTGCTGACGCCGATGCTGCTCCGGGCCGCTTCCGGTGCGTCTTCCTCGTGTTACCGCACGTCCAACTACTTTCGGACGCATTTCAACGACACCACCAACGTTCTGGAACAACCCGCGTCCAGTAAGTACTTTACAAAGTTCTCTCTCGTCTTATTTACATCGTCCAAACGGACCGCCCCCTGCTCAGCTGTACGTGCGGCCGCACGGACGGGCACGTGTCCGTTTATCGATTTATCTGCGTTTCGCCGCGGAATATATTGTAATCAACTCCTTTGATGCTGCCAAATCTGCCGCTGCTGCTCCCACCCCGATAGAAGGGTCGGATCGCGGCCACGGCCGATGTTTCCAAAGGGTGCCGCCGGTTTATTGCTCGTTTCCTGCCCCTTCTGCGTACATTATACTCGTACGCGTTCTTTCTGTCCGCCCGTTTATCCTATAGTCGACACTTTTTACGCGTATTTGCCGTGTCCGTCGTACTATATCGTACCCTTCGAAATCGATTGTCTTTTTGACACGCTACACGCAAAGTCCGTGGATCCGTATAGACAACACACGCGCGCGCACACATTCGAATCCATCTCCTTATTGTCGATTGTCGATTGCGCGATAAACGATAAGGTTGATACGACAGTAAATGTTCATCTTCGTAGCTTCCTTCGAATACATTATTATGACGTTTGATCATTAAAATACGTGTTAAGTAGACCACACTTCATCATTACGGTTTAAACTTGATTACATTCGATAATGAGATTTATTGACAATTTCCTTCATATTTTATCGTTTGATGGTCATCGACTTTGCTCCCCGTAGTTAATTAGTTTTCGTAATGTTTATCGAAGGGAAATGATGGAAACTCGAGTAGCACACGTGTGTAATAATGTCTGATTGATACGTTAATAGTAATATATAGGCTAATGTTATCATATTAAAGTTCGCTTTTAGCCAAATGAAACCATAAGTTCTTTTGATAACATTATATATAACATTGATATAAAATAGCAATCTTTTACTATTAATAGCTTTTATGAGTATATTATGTTTATAATATCTTATAATATATTTTACATAAAAATGATTAATTAGTCTTATTATATAGACATAACTTATTATATCATAGTATCAATGCAGACTTATATTCCAAGAATTATTTTTCTATTTGCAAATACAGCCAAAAGCTATTATTCGACGATAAGTTGTTATTAAATTCATAATTAAAATATAAGCATCAATGTTAGTTTAATGATAGATAAACTTATCATTTTAAATTACAATATGATAAAATATAATATGTTTTATTTTTAAATATAATTCGTATGTTTTGTGAATCGACAAATTTAACGACAACAATAATATATTTCGTTTTTTTTTAATTTTAAATGAATTATGATAATTTATCTTTCTTATAAACAAATACAATTATAGTCAAAGTAGGTAATTAATACACTATAATAATATTAATTATCCTTTAACGGTTTATATTTTAAACTAATTATTGTTTAAATAATTGCATTTAAATAAATATCATTGAAACTTCGGTTGAAACGTATAACATAGACAAAATGGATTATACTCAAAAGTCAAAATGCACGGCATTTATTAATTGTTTCCTAATTTAAGTGTTATTTTTTAAATAAATCATATTGTACTCATTTACGTTTGTTTACTTTCTCATATGAGCTTATAGCTTATCTAAACTACATGGGTTCACCCAAGATGTTTTAAACAACCTGGTTGCGATTACGTTTGCGGTAAGAGACCACAAATTCGATTATACATTATAATTTACTTGTATGCGTTCGACACGATTTATCTAATTGATTTGAATGGGAAATTGATATTGTGGTAACCGAGATGAGCGTGTTCTTGGTATACATCGTGACTGTATGAGTTTACAGCTGAACGAAGTTTGAACTCAATCCAAACTATAGACGACAGCATACAATTGACTTAGATATTTTATGTTTTTTTTTTTTGTTTTATTAACTTTTACTCTTTTCCGTTCTTATCTGTTCTTCCGACATCCACCGGTTAGTTTTAACAATGTGTGCTTACTGAGGTATTTTACGAACAAAACTATTCGTGTGGAATGTACTGTATTCGAATACAAAGATGGGTAAAACACGCACGATAGGAACTAATATATGAGAAAGAGTCGACTCTGGAATGACAATCAACTCATATACGTGTATTTATCTGTGGACTAGAAATAATCATACTCTTTCAGTTTTACAGTTGATTTAATTCTATACCCAATTTGATATTTTGTATATTTTATGAAATGAGATCTTAATTTTTAGTACAGTTCACTTCGCTAAACTTCAAATACATGATCAATTTAGCAACCTATATGTATTTGTTTTAACAACATTTTACAGAATAAATTCTCGGTATAAATAATTTCAAGAACTTGTGTTAACTATATATTTTTAATACACAATATCACTATAAAAAAACCCCCATTGTAGCACGTATTTTATAATAGCTATTTGTTTATTTTATTAAATTATAAAATATTATAGATAAAAGATCTCATCATATGAATTATGATCGTCGCATTATTGTATGTCAAATCATGTTATTATTTTCTATTCATGATTAACCCTTAGTTTAAAATTTAACCATCACATATTTTTCGTAAAAGTTGAAACATTTAAAATTAAATTAATGCTTTTTATTCATGCTGAATCGTATATAATTCATCATTATTGATTATGAAAAATATAGGTTACAGCTTATCGGCATTTAAAACACTAAATCATGATTAGATTATATATTTTAATGCAAATATAATATTTTATAACTATTAATACCTTAGTTAACGAAAAAAAAAACGTAAACAAATTAATTTATTATTCTACTAGAAAATAACATTTAAATAATTACCTATATTAATATACTTGTAAATAATAATGATAATAATAAATTGTAATTTTGATTAGCTATTAAATGTTTTAAACTTGATTTAAACATTGTTCCTATAAAACTTCGAGGATAACACTAGAATTCTAAGAATCAACTTAATTTAAATGTTTACATACATCGATGATATTCATTCAATTATTCTACTGTAGTTTTTTTTTTTTTGTAAAGCCAGTTTAAGTTTAAGTGTTTTTATTTTTTAGGTTTATAGCAACAAGTGACTGAATAATAAAAATGCATTTGACTTTTCAATGAATGCACAAATTAGCGCTTCTGAATAAAAGTAATATCCACTTCATAAAAACGACAATATAAACAAAAGAAAATCCCTTTTCTTATCTTTTTTTGAATTTGGGGGGTGATCTGAATGACTTATTTGTGTTGCAAAAAAACATATTCAAAAGACTTATGTACTTATTGAGTTTAATTTAATTTAGGGCGCCACAGTATTTTTTAATTATGTATCTATGCTTTAATCTAATATTTTTAATTTAAAATCATTTTAAATTAGTCGAGTTAAATTAAAATAAAATGTCATTATAGTCTTCTGTATATCACCTAAAATTAATAAATTCATTCATTTATACTTACAAAAAACCTATATTTATGTTTTGTTTTCTCATGATAACTTTAAATAAACGTAATTTTCTTAAATTAATATTAATTATTTAATTATATTAAAAAAAAAAAAAAAAAAACAATAGTATTTATACTATTTTCATATCTAATATATAAAATAATAAGTGACCAACATAATTATTAGATATATTAAGATACGCATAAATATACTTATATACTATATAATATAATATATACTATAATTTTCTTATTTTAAATATATATATTAAAATCTATATATATTTTTTCTTTACGACATTAAAAAATATAATTTACCTTTTATTCGTACAATACTAAATTATAAGTACCGACGATCAAAGTATCTATCACATATTAACGAAATTCTGTTTTCAATGCCGGTATATTTCTGGTATGAAATATTATCGATGTTGATAGTTACTGTCGTAATAAATAATATAATATATATTTACACGACAATTGTGTTGTTATTAATATTACTGTAGTTTTATGAAGCACGTGTATGTATAAATATTATTTAATAATTCCACTTCAAGATGTCAATTGTTAGGTATAGATAAAACTTGAAGAAGTGTGACGGTTATAAATAGTAAAGTACGAAGAGTAGTTATTTTTCTTAAACAATACTATTAAATCCGGGATAAGTAACCTTCCTCGGGTCTAGCTGGGATTTTGAAATACATTTTCTCACACTGGTTCACTTTAGGGCAAAGTGGAAATCGCCGCAATTATCACTAAAAGCCGTGTACACGTTTTTTTTTTTAAATGTTTTTTTTTTTCATTTTAGTTGATTGGTCATTTTGACACGTCATCGTGAAATTACACACGGATAGTGCGCGCAATAATAATCGTAATGACGGAATGTGTTCACATATGTATATATATATATATATATATATACATGGCGCTGAAGGGCCACATTAAACTGCATCTATAAGAGCTATTTAATGGAACGGACGAGTATGGTCGTCCAGTCACGTTCTTTGTAATATAAACTTCTATAAAAAAAAAAAATAACCCGTGTGTGTATGTGAGCGTTCTAATAGTATTATAAATCTTTTTCTTTCATTAGTATATTTCTGACGCGCGAGCAGAAGTTTCTTGGCGTTGAACGAAAAAAATTGTCTCCTTATGTTTACGTTTAGCCATGACTGAAATGTGTGCATACATATTTTCGTTCTATAAAGTTCTCACAGACTACAGATATTTTTCTCGTCTTTCGGTTCGTCGTATGTCGTTATCACGTTTAAAAATCGTACGGCAGTCACATCGTATCTGACACGTACTTTATACATCATTACAATTATATATACATATATATGTACGTATTGTAATGTGTTTATAGCTGTATATGTGAAGCCAGCAGACCAACGGCCAGGATAGTAAAGTATTAAATATATGTATGTGACAAGAAAAATACGACCGAGTTCGTCACGCCGTATAACTTTCGTGTGGTTCGAAAATGAACGTTTGTCTTTTTGGTCTATTTCTCACAAAACGCCTCTGGCATTTTTCTGATCCGTTAAGTGTTGCGTGCAAATCTCAAGATCTCGGCTCATGACATTTTTTTGTTTTTTTCTTATTCTTTCGTTCCCCCGTCAT